TTGTCTATTCTACCGTCTTCGAGCGAAAGGTTTGTAAAAAAATGACAATACTAATCATACGGTATCGGGTCACCATCATTGCTTATGAAATGATAGCTTAATAACTCACCTCTTCACATTTAATGATTTCGTTCGAACACACGTGTTCAGAAGATTAAAAACATTCAGAAATGTTTCTATTTCAAGAGTCACCTAACCTCGATCTTAAGTTTATCGCTTTTTTGGTTTTGTTTTTTGTTTTATTTCCCGTCATTTTATTTTAATTTATTCAACTTTTTTTTATGCATTTTCCGTTCCCAATAAAATAAATGTCCTAACAAAATCAATCCTAATAACCGAACACAAATTATCTTGTCCGGCTGTGTCATTTCACTAAAAACCAAAAGGCTGAACCCGATGATGGCGACAAAAAGTATGTTACAGCCACTGCTATAACCACTCGTACGGCCACTACCCACGAAGATTTGGGTAAAAATGCAAAAACACAGCAGCTCGAAGAAAAAACCGTTGCGACAACAACCACACACAACTTGAATCGTCAAGAACAGCGTGTGGTCACCCAAGAAGTAAAAACCAAGGCAACAATCACTAGCGGCGAACAGGTATTTTTTTTTTGGCTTGTGATAGTTGTTAGCTATGATGTTTTTAACGAACGATTTGAAATTCCATTTTGATAATGAAAAATGCTTTTGAGTTTTGTATTACTTTCGATCATTTCTTTTTGGCATGTCATTAAATTATCCTTTACGTTTCGTTTTATTGTAATTTGAGTAAAACAAAAAGAAATTATTCAATGTTTGTACAATTTTTTTCAGTTATTTTAAGTTGTTCGTTTAAAATTCATATTTTATTTTTTCAATGGTGTTTTCAATTTGAAACTTGTGTAGTTTAAGCGACGAGATAGCGTATCGTCAACAAGTTCTGGCGATTCGGGTACGCCAATCGACGGGCCAGATGATCAAATTCTATCCATTCAGGACCAGGTTTGTATTGTGTTTATTGTTGTAGTTAATAGAATCGTTCATCATGGATGATGATGACTGCTAGCCGACCAAGTATGGTTAAGTTTTTTATTGAAATTTTCATTTTTACTCACCACAATGTATGCACGATGCTGTTTAATTGCTGTTGTTGTGTAGACTTTGAGAAAAATATTAGTCAATGGATAATTATTTTGTTTGGACATTGTAGACGCATACTTTGATCATCCCTTGTGAAATTTCAAATTGAGTTGAAAATAAAAAAAAACAGCGTATAATAATTAGATTTCATTTTTGTATAGACTACAACTGCAGCACCAACATCAACAGTGGTTTCGACGACCGTAGGACAGATACCAGCAGAAGGCGAACATCACGTTATTCTCGGCGAAAATAGCCAAGGCTACACGGCAGAAGGTGAAATCATCTCCACACAAACCGTCAGCAGTAAAACACGAACCGTAGAAACCATCACCGTACGTACATCTTTTGAAATTCTACCCTCTTAGAATGATAAGTTAATTTTTGTTCATACATTTTTTTACAGTACAAAACGGAACGCGATGGTATCGTTGAAACTCGTGTTGAACAAAAGATTACCATCCAAAGTGATGGCGATCCAATCGATCATGACAAAGCTTTGGCCGAAGCAATTCAAGTAAGAAAGGATTCTTTTTATATGTTTTTTTTTGCTACCAGCAGAGCTGTTCTCGGCACCGCATAGGTGTGAGCACTTTTCCTGTAGTGTCGCATCTGAACGGTACTTGAAAAATTATATGAAATAAGTGCGGGTGCCTCCTCCAGTGCCAACAACAGCTCTGACTATCAAACAAGAAAAAAAATCGGAACGACATTTAATTTTTAAAATTCAACCATTTCTTTGTGAATTTACAGGAAGCAACAGCTATGAATCCCGATATGACAGTGGAAAAAATCGAAATTCAACAACAAACTCAATAAATATGATCACATATTGTTGCAAACAATTAATTTAATTTAGATTTGGACAAACGGAAGTAAAAAAAAGAAATCTTTATAATTACGATATAACTGAGAAAAAAAATCTATGTAATTGAACAATGTATTTTTTGTAATGTATTTTTAAGTTTACATTATCATCTTGTATTATTTTTTATGATTTAGATTTGAAATATTTACATTTTTGACGAGCATTTGAAGAACGTCAACGAAAAAACGAAAGTACATCATACTTTCCTAAATAAATACACTTTTTTCTTTAAAAAAAAAATCAATTATATTGATGGAAGCATTTGCAAATAATATATTAATAACACATTTTTTGGATAGCGTCACTCAGATTACTTGGCCTCCCATTTTAGATAAATGTTGTCCAAATTTTATAAAAAATATGAACATTCACAATATATTTGTTTTTTTCCCTCATTTTCTTCAGCCAAAAATGCGATAACTGTTTTAAAAACAATTTGAAGTAATTTTGAGTTATCGACTTTTTGCTGTGAAAGTTTGTGTCATCGTTCATTTCTATAGCATTCAAGTACCTACGACAATGTATGAATGTTGAAAAAAAAAAACAAATAAATTATAGCTATTAATAATCGAAATTTCCCCTCTCCTCAAACAAAAGAAAAAAAATCAAACAAACACAAATGAATATATATATATATGTAATGTTAATGTTGAGAAAAAAAAAGGAAAAGAAAAGGCCACCTTCGCCACATAGTTGCTGCTTCATTGGTTTAAAGTGAATACACTGATATAGACGGCGTACTCCTCAATCCACTCATTCAATCGAAATATATGTTGTTTTATGAAATAAAATGAATAAGAAATGAAAATTAAATACCTAACATTTATGGATATAAAAATATTGCAATAAAAACGTAAAAATTCCGTTAATATCAATGGTGTGCATATATGAAAATAAATATAAAATGGCCACGAAATTTTTTAAATAAAAATACACAATATACATCGCTTCAATGATTGAAATCATTTATTTTGAATTGAAGCGACCGCATATTTTTGTTTAATCATTTGATACACACCTAACATGTTTTGCTTCTACAATTCAATTACGAAAATAAAATCAGTTCAAACACATCACTCAATAATTGCATTGCCTCGCTTGCGATAAAAACAAATTTTAAAAAAATCAACTAAATAGGATATATGTACATGAGGAAAATCAGCCTTAAATTAACAAATGGCATATATATGGGTTTTTTTCTTTCGAAGAACGAGAGGGAAACGATAAATAGGATGCTCAACTTTGATGGGTACGCAATCAATTTTAAGACACAAAATAAAAACACTTTAAAACACAAGGATAAATTTACACACAAATTTATGAACGCAAACATACACATACACACACACACACACACATCAACATGTTCACCAATGCAAACTTTTTCGATACAAAACCAAAAAAAAAAAAGAATATAAAATGAACTCTCAGAATCACATAATAAATCTCTCATAAAATGTCATTTGAAAAGAATCTATCTAGCACAATATATGCGTTATTACTTGATGGACAAGAAATAAACCAATTATAAAGTATGAATCTCATTTTGCATGCATTTACAAACACAAACGCAAATGAAAACAATTCTTAATCAATTTTTGTCAAAAGAAAATTCTTTTTTAAATTGTTATTTTTATTTCTTGTCATTTTAATATGCATATGTTTAATATTTGTTTATAAATTATCACAGTAAAAAAAATTCAAAATATAAATTTTTAATGTGTTTTTTTTTTCGTTTCAATTTATGATATACATTATACTGTTTGCAGCACTTTTCTTGTATAATCGAAAGAGCTGAAGCTATTTCGATTTAGAAATAAGAAAGAACAAATTGAGAAAAATGCCGGTGATTTTTGTTTATTCGAGAGAAAAAAAAGAAGTTTATTTTGCTTATTTTTATAACACAGGTATGGTAACAAAATTTGTCTATAAACTGTGTCATGTATTTTTACAAAAAAAAAAACACATATTTCCTGTTTGTTTCTCGTTTGGCTTGATTGCAATTAATGTGTATATTAAATTTATTGTGCGTTTGCAAAAAAAGCATGACATTATGACAGCGTTCTTTGTTTACTCAAATCAATCAGCTGAACAAACGTTGAAATCAACGTTATTTACAAAATAATAAATATTTGCCTTTTTTATATGAACTGAAACAAAAAAATCAACTGATATTTTCAAAATGATGGAAATTCGAAATTTTCAAAATTTCGTTTTTCAACCACTTAAACACTGCCAGAGCGTGTGTGTGTTTTTTTTTATTATGTCATATTCAAATAAATAAATAAATAAATAATAATAATAAAAAAACCTCTTTGATATACACACATACACATGCAAAACAGAGAATGAATGTTTGCTTATAATATTTGTCTGAGAATTTAAAATGCACATTAAAAAAAAAATGAAGAAAATCCACACAATTTCAATAAGAACAAAATAAACCAATGTGCATTTAAGCTGCTGAACAATGTATCAACCGATATAGGAATGTTATGAAGCATAAATAATAATGTATTTTTCTAAATTCCATAAATTTGCTTGAATTGTATTGTATTGATCGTTATTTAGCCCAATAAAAATGTGCAAATAAAAATGAATTGAAACATAAATGACTTTGATTTGAATCGGATTTTTTGTTTGTTAGTTTTTTTCTTTGTTCGAAATTGAACACATAAGCGCCACCAAACTCTTGATAATGCTCATCAATCACTTGCCTATGTTTATGTTTTATCACTCTATCTCCCTTGCTCTATCTTCACCGTTGAATGAACACCCAACCAACTTGGGTGAAAATAAAAATAGATGAGAAAATTGGTAAGTATTCAGTTAAAATTGTTATGTGAATGTGAGTTAATTATGTACCATTTAATACATTTTGTGAGTTGAGTTGTCCGAGTGTGTGATGAACGATATGTGTGTGTGTGTTTGAGTGATACATTTTCTTTTTCTCGTTTTTTTTTGCCTCTATCTAATTCATTGTGTGCCATTCCGCGCGGAAAATCTAAAAATATCATATGTGTACATCATCACAACATGTAGTATGTGCTATTTTCAAAACCGGGCAAACCAAGCCGTATACCATTTGTCTTGTATATGCTTTTATTGACAAAGCAATTGACATTGCCGTCAGTGTTTGGCTGATTGAAAAACGTTCAAGAGACTTCAGTGAAGCGGTACTATAATGGTAAATCGAAAGGTAAAAACATACCACATTGGGTGGGCATCACAGCAACGATGTACTTAAACAATTGAAATATTAAAAACAATCAAAAAAATTAACACTATGTACACGAATTTGTGTGTTGTGCTCACCGAGTCGGCCGAGTAAAAATAGTGCATCTACTCTCTATGCTGTCGCTACGTAGACAACATGAGTTGTGGTCGAAGCGCGTAAATTATATTATTTTTAGGTGATTAATTGGTGATACACATTCACACTTTTTTCCTCAATTTTCATTTTTTCCCTTGTTATTTTATGCTTTTTTTTTAAATTCACCAAGAGCGAATGGGAAAAATAGCGTGCGCGAAATCCGAGTGCCGTATCGTGCCGAGTGACTATTGTCAAAACGTCGAGTGACACTGATTGAATCGAGTGCCGTGTGTAGTCACTGACATTTTAGCAACCGAGTATATTAGATGCAGTGATTACTATGAACGAACATAAATTTCAATAAAAAAAAATGAGTGGTGCAATAGAAAATGATAAAAAACCGGTGGACAATTGTTATGTATGCAAAAAATTAAGTGCATTAAAATGTTCAAATTGTGTTAAAGTATTTTATTGTGGCCACGAACATCAGCGAAAAGACTGGAAACGCCACAAATTTGACTGTCGACCATTTGAGGTAGGTTTTTTTTATTATCATCTTATTTACAACAGTATTTGGAATTTATGATGCAATTATGTTTGAATTTAAAAAAAAAAATAGGTTGCGAGTAATGAAAAATTTGGTCGATATTTGATAGCTAGTCGTGATATAAAAGCCGGCGAGATATTGCTAAAGGAATCACCTCTTGTGTGTGGCCCATCACAAATAACGTGTCCCGTATGTATTCGTTGTCTGCAGGGTCTTGATGAGACTGATATTACTAATGATCAGGTGTGTGCAAAATGCGGATGGCCAATTTGTTTGGAGTGTTCAGCCGATAAACAAATCGAAAAAATGCATCATGATGAATGCGAGATAACGGTGGCACGCGGCAACAAATTTTCATTACAAAACTACTTTAATCCACATCCCACCTATCAATGTTTGACGGTGCTACGTTGTTTATTGTTGAAAGAGCATTCGCCAGACAAATGGAATAAACTTTTTCAATTGGAGTCACACTGTGATCAACGGTACTATTTTTGTAATTTTTTTCTTGTAGCTGCATAAATATCTTCAATTGAAATAAAATATTCAATTCTGCTTATCGTTTGAATTTGAAACAGACGTGGAAGTGCACAGTGGTGTAATGATCGGGAAGGTGTTGCAAAGTTTATACCGCGTTTTTTTAAATGCCATGGCCGATGGAATGAAGAAGACATTCTCAAAGTGGCCGGAATCGTTCAAATAAATGGGCACGAGGTACCGCTGACCACACCACCATTCGTTGCCATTTACGATTTGGCATCGTTGGTCGAACATTCGTGCACACCAAATTTAACAAAATCATTTACATCAAAAGCCGATTTAATATTTTGGGCACCGAATAAAATAAAAAAAGGTGAACACTTGAGCATTTGCTATTCGGATGTTTTATGGGGCACGGAAAATAGACAACACCATTTATTGCAAACGAAAATGTTTCGTTGTGATTGTCCCAGATGCAGCGATGCCACTGAATTCGGGACATTTTTTAGCGCACTAAAATGTAGCCGATCAAACAACGGTTGCGATGGACTTCTTCTACCTGAAAATCAAGGCCAATGGCATGGCAAATGGAAGTATGAAATCAATTGATAACACTACTGCACAATTTGACCAATTCGTTCATTTGCAGATGTAATAAGTGCAGTGACATTGTTGAACAGCAGTATGTAAGATCGATTCTTGATCGAGCCGCCATGGACCTGGAAGCGTTGGAGAAAGACAATGAACTACAATTGACACAGTAAGTGACTTCAATTGTAAACTTTTTATACATTTAACCAATTTTCCAACAATTTATAGATTTATTGAACAATACTCAAAATGGTTGGCTCCCAATCATTATTACATTTGCGACGTTGAACTGACTTTAACGCAAGCGATTGGTTCAGGCGATCCGAAAAACTTACAACTTATTTCCAATTATCAATTGCAAAAGAAAATCGATTTATGTGAAAAATTATTGAAATTATTCAGAGTGTTGGCAGCCGGTTGGTTTTTTTTTTCTTCATATTTTCATTTCGTTTGCCATTTTTTTAAAACAATTAATCATTTAATTAGCTGAATCACGTTGTTTGGGTGCACTACACTTTGAATTGCATGCAGGATTAGCTGAACTTGGCCGTCGTGCTATGCAGAATAAAGACAATTCCTTTCGAAAGGCCATCGAGAACTCACTAATAAATGCAGAAGAAACCGTTCGATTACTAGCACATGAACCAATCGAGCTTAGCGAAGGTTGGAATTTATAAAATTATTTAAATTGAATTAATAAAACGACACATTTTTTTAAGGTCAAATTTGTATGCAAGCCAAAGCAAACATCGAGTCTTTGAGAGTAATCTTGGCCGCTGCTTCGGACATTTAAATTCAATTTCGTAAATATGTCAAAGTACTTGTCAACTGTGGAATATTCATTGAAAAAGTTTTATTTTCGTAGAAAAGGTAGTTTTTTTTTTGGTTGTCATCCGGATACCTTCAATGAGTTGTTTTCCTTTACAAAGTTTAAATGATTCAAAATGCAAAAATAAGATCATCTATGTTTTCAATGAAACGATAATATTGTATGTTTTGATTTTAATTTATTGATTGATTTATATAGAGCATTTTTTTTATTTTCAAATTCATTGTAAACACTTAATTAAATAAAAAAAAATTCATTGAAATAAATAGTAGTAAATTAAATAACTTAGTTCTGTTGTTTTGATGTGTAAGCATTAAAATGCTTTAACTAGGAAATCGATATAAAAACTAACGTAATCAAGGAGAGGAAATCTATTGTAAATGGAAATGGAAAATCCCCTGCTCAATTCAATTTTGACTGAAATATGCAGAAAAAAAAACAATTTAAACTTTTATTTCTTTGGCTGAATGATGAAAGTGGATTGTATGCTTTAATTCATAATAATGCTAAAACATCAACTCTCTAGAGGTTCATCTAATTTGTGGATATGTTCCATAATAACGAAGGTTGTGCACAGGAATGCCTTATGAATAAATGGTCATCAGTATCATTTCTTCAAGCGTTAGCGGATTTGCTTTGGCTTTTGCGTCCAAACTATGAAAACGCTCTGTGGAGAAAACACAGTTTTTTTTTTGTTCAAATTTCAATTTATCTCTGTTTCTCTTAAACTTATAAAAACCGGTAAAATTTACCATGTGCCAAATGAAGCCTAGTCATTGACATCAGATAACCCTCAAGCGTAATAAATTTATTGCGTGTAAATCGTCCAACGAGTGCTTCTATTACTTTGTTGCTGGCTGTTGCACCTCCAGCCCATAGTAAACTGCGTAAATTGTATGATGATACTTTAACATTCCATGTGCTGCGACTAAGTGACAGTGTGCCAACTGTGCCACATCGACGGAATGCAGACTAAATCCGAATGTTTTTGTATAAATTTATTTAAATAAAAAAATTAATTTAAATTTGCCATTGAAAAACAAACCTTCCAAAATTTTAGTAGATTAATTAAAATTGGGACGTAATCAAGTGATACGCGTCCGCCCAATGCAGGATCTCTTAATGCCAATAGTGACCGACATAAATCAAGTGATGGACCTCCGATTGTTCGCAATCTCAATGTTCCACCACAATGTATACTTCGAACAATATTTTGCAGTTGTGTTGCGTCGATTTCCATTGGGTATCGTGCACGAAGTTTGTACAGTAAACGTTGCTATTTTACACATTGAAAATAATGCAAATTATTATTGTGTCATTTCATTGACAATACTATTTTAAACTTACATATTCTGCAGTTCGATCATCACCAAAATCGCTTGTAATGCTGTGCACGACCAAATTATCTTCATTAATTTCCCAAACATCAGCGTGCTGATCGGCTAAAATACGTAGTAGAAAAGAACCTTCTCGATGTTGAACGGAATTTGGCATCACAACAAAATCACCGGCCGGCAATGCAAAAAATGTGGCCACTTCACGTGCATTTTGTAACGGTGCATGGTCAAGAGGCATTTGTTCACTAACATATTGCGGTGTTACTCGAGCCATTCCTGCACACAAACAACAACAAAAATCATTATAATTCTTCGAAAAATTTATTGTCGACCTTTAAAAAATTTTTACCCGGTGGAACTTCATATATGCAAAATCCAACTTGTTCTTCTTCAAACATCCGGCTTCGATAGCACTCATATTTTTGGGCAACGGCAACAACTACATGCGCTTTCGATGGATGACCGCTCGGCACACGTATCCGAAATTGTGGATTTGTAGCGTTCGTTTCTGATTAGCCAAAAAAAAAAACATTTAAACTCTGAAAATGTTTTTTTTCTAAACCACTTACCGATGCATTTGTGAGGACCACCAGCGTTGAATCTGTTTTTTTATGAGAGAAATATCGGAATTTGTTTCATTTTCATTGTTAGAAGAGCATTTTAGATGAGTTTATTTGATGATAATTAGTTTTTTCAATAAATCAAATTACCCAGCTCTCCATTGTCGAAATGCAAGTGCGGCTCGCCATGGAGTTCTCGAATGAAGGCCTGTCTCAAGTGCCCAATCATCGGGTCCTAGTATATGCATACAATTGTTTCGTATATATCTTATTGACAGCGAAAAAATGTCAAACGATTGCATTTTTCGAACACACTTACCGATGTGAGCCAGCCAAATGACTGAAAACCGTTGTAAAAACTCCGGCACCGCCATCCTATTTACAAAACAAAGTAAACAAGTAAACACCGTACGTGTTAATCGCATCATTGCTTTCAACTGACATCGTTTTCAAACAGTATAAACACTCTTTTTTTTTGCAATTTTTCTACTAAATGAATTAATTTTAGCGGCATGCTGTTGTTTACGTGGCAATTTACAATTAAGTTTATTTGCGGTGAATGCGGACAGAATAATAGAGAGAAGTAGTTAAAATGAACATATTTTTTTAAAAAAGCAAATACACAAGTTCAACCACTTTTATCGAGCATGCTCATCAAAAGGTAAACTACTAACGATACAAAATACCTTCAATTGAACAGTTCGTCATCATGTTCGCTTCTCATCGCGGCAGTTTTGCGAACGATGTATTGTAATGCCCAGAGTTTTGTGTGTACTTGTGCAATGCGCGGAGAGAAATGAGTTGTTCATTGAAGAGCACTGGTTAATTATCAATGTGCAATAAACGAGTGTATACTGTAGTGTATGAAACAAATGCCATTTTGAAAAGAATTTTATCAATATAGACTATGGACTACGAAATGTTAAGATTCGGCAAAATATCTATGCAAATCATGCATTTCAGAAACAAATTCATTGCAGACATGATGAATGAGAGTAAAAGTTTGAAGGAAAACGAGAGAAAATGCTCTTGAATCGTGAACATGGTCACACGATGCCATTCAATCACAACTGAACCTGTTTTCAAGATAGTTGAACCTCTGTCGGCTTCGTTGTAACACAATGTATCTAAAAACTAATGATTTTATTTGAGCCAGTTTTCTTTTCTGTCATTTACTCATTGCTCGAAATTCTCTTTCTGTCTCAGTTTCAACTTAATGAACTTGCTCTTATTTATAGACCACGAGGTCATAGCACAATTTATACGATTCTTATGATGATTAACACCACACACACAAACACACACACACACATAAAGCCAAAGAGAAAACGCAAAACCATCAAAATAATGTTCTTAAATCAATTATTTACACTAGGCAATTGTATAAATGATTTTATGTGCAATTATTGTATACTTGTTGAATAACGTTCTCTAACAAATATTTCTTGACAAATATCATTATTGCAATTGCCATTTCCACACTAGCATTCGAGGTCCATTGAAATCGATTCGAAAAAAAATGTTTTGCTTTTTTTATATTGTTCCGTTTTTGATGCACAATATCATTATTAATTTATCCCGACTGAGAGAGTGAATAACAATATATATAAAATTAGATCGCTTGCATGTGTTATGATCTGTCCGACCTTAATGCCGTACACACTTTTTTTTCGCTTAACTACTTCATCAAAGACCGTAATTGTTTTGATATCACAAGAAAAAAAACACACAACTAATGTAAGCGAAAAAAAAACACAACAAACTATCAAACAGAATCGGCAAAAGATAGCAATGAAAAATAGTTTCATTTAAAATTTAACATTGGTTCTGGTTGCGTGCGTATTATATTTTTCTCATTCGGTGCGTGTGATTGTTTGAGTTTCATTTTGAAATCGTTTTCGTCTTGTGTACATGTGACAAATATTCGGGAAGTGATTTTTGTGCGTATTGTTTTTTTTTGTTTTTCATTGTGCAAAGATGATTTGTAGCTGGAATATATCGATTGTTTTTTTAATATTTGGACAATTTGCATTTGGCATCACAAAAAATCTATATTCATTGTCCGATTCAGTGGAAAAAATTCTAAATATAACTGCAACCATAACGGCTGAAATTGATGCAACACAATTTATGGAAAATGTTCCATTGAAAAGAGAATATGATTTTGTGATAGTGGGCTCGGGACCGTCAGGATGTGTGCTTGCCAATAGACTATCGAACGGTAATCATAGTGTTTTATTGTTGGAGGCTGGTTCTGCTGAAAATCCAATGTTAACAAATATCCCAATGAGTGCACCGAATCTACAGCTAAGCGAATGGAATTGGAATTATGCCACCGAAGTGCAAGAAAATGCGTGTCAATGTATGTGTTTTTTTACAACTAACAAAAAATGTAGAAGAAAAAGTGAGCTTAAAAAAATTGTTAACATCCAATATTTCAGCAATGGAAGGAAATCGATGCAATTGGCCACACGGTCGCGGATTAGGTGGATCGTCAATTATAAATTATGCCATTTATACGCGTGGCAATAGTCGAGATTTCGATCGAATCGCCGCTGCCGGTAATCCGGATTGGAGTTTTGAAAATATTTTGCCATATTTTCAAAAATTTGAAAAATCTATTGTTGAACCTATGGATGATACTGACTCTTTTGGAAAGACGGGACAATTACAAATTGAAGAAACTCGATTCAAGTAAATATTAAAAAAAGAAGTAAATGATGCATATCAATTGTATGACATTTTTACCAATTGATTTTAGAACTCCAATTGCAACGGCGTTCGTTGAAAGTGCAATTAGTTTGAATCATTCACTCGTCAACTATAACAGTGGCGATCAAATCGGTGTTTCGTATTTACAATCATCAACGAAAAATGGATGGCGACAAACAGCCGCAAGTATCAATCTTTGATCAATGCTGCGAAAATCTCTATTTAACTCATATTAGTGAAAACGTTTGAAATTCGTTTATTTGATTTCTGTGTACAGGCAAGAGCTTTCTTATCGCCCATTCGTGAACGACCAAATTTGGATATATCACTAAAATCGTGGGCAACCAAGCTTCTGTTCAACTCGAACGGTGATCAAGTCAAAGCAATTAAATTCGTTCGTGATAAACAAGAATATACAATTAAAGTTCGAAAAGAAGTGATATTGGCTGCTGGCACTTTTGAAAGTCCAAAACTTCTGATGTTATCAGGAATTGGACCTGAACAACACTTGCAAGACTTGAACATAAAAGTCATAAAGGTACATAATGAAATGAAATCATCGTATCTACGAGAATATCCCGATTTAATTTAGATTATCAATTTCCGTAATCTAGAACCTGCCAGTAGGTCAAACATTGTACGAGCATATGGCTGTGTTTGGACCAATTTTCACCGCTGACAATTTGACAGATAATCTTATCAACATGAACGATGTCCTCCAATTAAAGTATGATTATTTGAATATATTTAGATTGTTTCATCTGAAAATTAAATTCAATTTAAATGGAATTTGTGTACAGGCCAATATTTGAAATACTAGACGGAAAAGGTCCTCTAACATCAACCGGCGTTGAATCATTGCTTTATATGAAAACCAACAATTCAGTCAGTTCCGATCCCGGATACCCTGACATTGAATTAATTCAATCGTTTGCAACGGTGGCTTTCGATACATGTAAGTTTCTTTCGATACGTACAAATATTCCACAAAAAAAAACTAACATTGAGAATGTTCATATTTTAGCGCAAGGTATACGTCAAGGTGTACGAATGTCACAAAAAGCATATAATGCTGTATTCAAGCCAATTGAAAATCGACGAGCATTTCAAATTTTGCCCATGCTATTGCATCCGCGTTCCAAAGGCTATTTAAAATTAAAGAGTCGCAATCCATTCCACCATCCCTTATTGTATGCGAATTTTTTCGATGATGCTCGTGACATTGACGCATTACTAGAAGGCATACGAGAGGCAATTAAAATTTGCCAACAACCACCATTTATTGAATTGGGCGTTGAACTATATAATGTCACTGTGCCTGGATGTGAAGATACTGAATTCGATTCCGATGAATATTGGATATGCTACATAAAACACTTGTCGGCAACGTTACATCATCAAATTGGTACATGCAAGATGGGACCACGCACCGATAATACAAGTGTGGTCGATTCACATGGTCGTGTTCATGGATTCAAAAATTTGCGCGTTGCTGACGTAAGCATTATTCCTGAGCCACCGTCTGGTCATACGGCTGCGTTTAGTTTTGTTATCGGTGAAAAAATAGCCGAAATCATTCGCAATGACTGGTTGCCCAAAGAAACAAACATTCAAAAATTGACACGAATTCGAAAATCTTTAGATTGGCAATATCAAGACCCAAACCATACAACAGAACCCAAACCAACAATTATCAGTGTAACCAAACGTCCGATACTGAATCATCAATATGTAACATCGCAACCAAAACAACTAATGAATGATCCGGAAGTAATGCATGTACTGGATTCATTGAATATGACTGCTATCAATGAAAATAGTCACCAATTTAAAAATCCAACGATTGGTGATGTTGGTGTTATCTTATGGGGATCACCGTTAGTCACTAAAACAATTGACTTTAAAACAAAATTGGCCGAAGAAACAAATTCAACCAGAGCCAATGAAACAAGGACCATCACAACGAAATTGCACATTTATAAGTCAAGTATGACAAGAGCCACTACACTGCCAACTCTTCAATCAACAACAGAGGATAAAGATGAAGAAGAAGAGGAGGAGGAGGAGGAAGAAGAAAATGACACAATTTTAGTGACTTCTGATGATATTAACACTCCCAATTCAACTGAAGTAGTAACACAATTGACAACAGTCGAGTCAACGTCTAAACTATCGAATATGGATAAGATAATGGCAACATCACCATCACTTGATGAAGATTCTATTAAAACATATAAACTTAAAGAGATTGAGAGAGCTAGACACATGAAATCTACAAATTTAGCTAAATTTTCTAGTACAACAAGATCTTCGGAAACAAAGCCAATGCCTATTAATGAGTCGCTTTCAACAACCGAGAAAGAAACGGAACGGAATACTATTAAGACCGATTTTGATAAAAATCAAACGAATACAGTCGAATTAGTACAAATTGAAAAAATTTAAATTAAAGTGTAAAGATATTGTAATAACTTCAAGTTTGTTGTTTCTCATTTTAATTTTACATACCAAAATTCTCCTTCGTGCTGTGATCTAGATGCAAGTAATTCACGATCTCTATCACTCAATGCATTCCATTCCCATGATCGTTCGCTCCATGCACCGCCCCAAATGCCACCATATTCACTCCCAGCCCAAGGTGATCTCAAGCGAACGAGATTTGTGTCATGTGGTGCATTGATACCGTTCTGTGAATCCATGGCCGATTGTGTTGTTCGTACTCGAGCCAAACCCGTAACGCAATAAGGATGGTCTGATAAAAGTCCAGAACGACGATGTTTTGTACCCTTTTCCTAAATAGAATTGAAAATAAACAACAACAACCAATAGTTTGCGACACTTTCGGAAATTATACTTACTGTTATCGCCAATAGAAGCGTTGATCTGGGAACGGCACCTAGTTTAAACATAAGGTAAACAAAAGAGAATTTTCAGCACAAAAAAATTGAGAGAATGGTAACTTTGTTACAACTTAATTTCAAGAAAATTTATAATTATATACCTCCCAGTAAAGGCCCAGACGGAGGAACACTAAAATAAATGAGATAATAGAGACATTTTCAAACGTAAGACAAGACAATAAATGAATAAAAGCCACACATACACACCTTTGTACAACAGCGCCGGTTAGGTCTTGTAATGCTCTCCCAATTGTGCCATATTTTAAAAATGCATATCCTCCATACAATTTGGCATAAGCTTTTTCTAGTAGAGCCGCCCAATACACATCGATCTGAGCGCAATGCATGTGAGCCGGTCGATCACCGCGCGTTGGCAAACGGTCATCAACTTTCACTTCAATCCAACGACCCCATTGCCAAAAGCGAAACCTGTTTAAAAAAAAAAAATATAATAATACGAAAACATTTAGAAGACGTATCATTCAACCGATTACAAACAAGCAATGCCAATCATCTAGGCAAGACCAATTTGCAATCTTTCAATTTAGAATAACAAGCAATTTCGATTGAACAGAAAATCACTCAATCTCCTCATTTCTCTTTTTTCTTTTCGAACTAACTTTGTTCCCTTTTACGGATCACCGTCATCCATTCATTCATAGTACGAAATACTGTACTGAATGTTGTAAATCAATGCAATTACTTGATTTTTCTATTGTCTTTAGTTTCTTTGGAAAATAGTCTGCATCATTTCACATTTCGCGGTTCATAATAGTTCATATGTTTTATGTATGAAACACGATGGAATATTCTTAGCGAAGAAACCAGTATAAATTATTAGAATTCGACATTCTATCCACACGACAGATAGATACTAAGGTGTTGCGCGCACAATAATCTTTTCAGTAAGAAAATTGATTTCCAATTTCTGAATCACATCAATCGATATGAATATTTTATCGAATTTACAGAATTTTGAAGTGTTTGTGTGTGTGTTTTTCTCATTCGTTGGTAGCGTTTTATGAATGATTCGTATGCAATGTGTATTAAAACGTTAACTCTCCGCACATATCACTTAACGAGCTATATTTCATACACACCCATACGCGCACATAAACCAACCAAATCATAAATATTCCACATTTGGACGAAGAAAAAAAAACGAGCCCGAGTAAATTGTAATGTCGTTTATGATGGCTTATAGGTGTGGCGTTCACCATTAGAAATTATTTATGATCGCATCGAATATTGTGTGAACATTGTTGGGTGGCATGTAATCCATATCAATATTTCATTTAATTTGTGCATTATCTCACACTCTCACTTTGGCTGACAACTTGATTGTAAATGAATAAAAATGACGCGCTCGTTTATTTCCCGCCCTCAATATCGCCCGATCCGATATTTTCTTCGTTACATTCATCGCATCAACCAAGTTTATTTTTTCCCATGACGAAAGTCAATCGCTTTATCAAAATTATGGGCTCGTTAGATAAATGGTGAATTAATTCTTGTTATATAGATGTACCATTAATATTTGATGGTAGATACAAAATTGAATAACTAAAACATTAATCGATTGTGTCATTTGACAAATGTGTGCGCGATTCAGAAAAAAATAAGTATAAAATGACAATCGAACAGTATCAAATGCCGATGCGCGGCCGATTTGATTACAAACATTTCGAATAATTTGAAAGCGATATTAATATACATGGAGCCATGTTCGAACTCAGTAAAATGATTCACGTGTCTGGTTTGTACGGTGCCATCAATGAATTATTATTGTTAAACGACAAGATGGAAATGAAGAATTCAGACGTTTTAACAAAGCCGCCATAATAAAGCGACCATAATGTCACTTTTATTGTGTTTGTATTTGCCATTCAATTAATATTAACAGTTAGTAAGTGAGAAAAATCGAATTAAAGTTGGACCGTTTGATTAACTGAATGTGTAGGTGTAAACGGCCAGAGACTATATGGTTATGTCCAAAATATGCAATTTTATTGCCTGCATCGAATCAAATGCACGAACATTATACTAACATGCACGGCGATTTAAGCTACAGAGTTGAACATTCAATCATATGGCGAAGAGTTGCATTTGTAAAAAGAGAAAGTAGAACATTACGGAAAGCGTGTGTGATCTTCAACTATATGACTTTCAAGTGCACGAACCTACAATTTGCATGTTATAGATGTAGAAAGGGTATTCGTATACATCTTTGCTTTTTTGGAGTTTAGCCAGTGTTGAGAAGCCAAAACTAGGTCTTGACCTATCAAAAATCGACGCTAATATGAATAATCTTGATCGCTGATCAGTCGTATGACTTCTCTCTTAATTTCTGTTATATAATCATATTTTTTATTTATGTTTGATAGACTCATGACGAGTGCTTTCGTCACATGATTTGTTGCTAAGTTGCCGATCTTATTTTGGTATTTATTTTCTTATATCATTTTTGAATCAATGGCTCATTCTCGTTTAAAGCGTTCAAGAGATACGAGTTAAAGGAAATCATAATCTTCCTTTCGCGAATTATTCCATCGAGAAGAAAAAAAATATTTTTTAAATTCAGTTTTCCATAAATTTTTGAATTGATTGGAGTTTAATAATGAGATTAAAGACGTTTTTTGTGACCATTTTAATTTTCAACATTTTCAATCACATTTTCGGAGATACGACTCAAATAACACCTACAACGATGCTGTGGAATCTTATAAAGAGTTGATCAAGAAAACACTGCTGAGTCAGGGTGCGTGCGGGAGGTCAATTTTCGATGTGTCGTTTCATTTGAGTGAAATAAAGTTGGAACTTGAGAATTTCGAGAGTCAAGCGCAATAAGGGCACACTATATAAACGCCATCTATTAATAACCGACTAACTACAATGTAAATCAAACGTATCTGTTTCCCCTTTTTATTTACTCCCTTCCCCTCTCGCTATACTTTTACATTGTAGTTAGTCTGTTTTACAAAGATGTCGTTTCTGTGTAAGATGTGTGACGTCACAATGTATTTATATGGATAGCGCTCGACTCTCGGAGAATTTGAATGAGATTGGCATGGGAGATGACACGGAACCATTTAGTATGGAAAAGGCGCTTAAAGATTTGCGTAAAAAGTCCATTTTAAAAAAATGTTATTGAGAACCGTTACAAAGAAGCTTCTTTTGCATTTAAAAGGCATTTCTTTCCATTTGGCAATATTTTTTTGCGTGAAATTTACTTTAACGTTATTCATTCACATGACACAATAACACCAGAGCGACTGATAGAAAACTACATCGATCGGATTGACAAAATGTTGCATAAAATCAAAGAAAAGAATCATTCAATCGAAGAGTAGGACAATTACAAATTTTCAGGTGAATTTGAATTTTATGAATGGTCGTACGAAGATGTGCAAAGTGATATCAACAATTTACTTGAAGGTGGAAATATTACAATAACAGCTGATGCAACGAAAACACCGAGATTCGATTCTGCAGTTAAATTTAATGAAATTGGTTTAGTTTTCAAATTGGCAAATGAAAGTTTACAAAATGAATTCGACGACGCGTTAAATTCATTTCTTATAACTTCGTCTACGGTTGGTAATCAAACTTTTAAATGTTATGACCAAATATATGAGCTTTCTGGGCAAAATAATATTAACATTATGTATGCATTTCAAAAAAGTTTGTATGACAAGGGACCATTACATATGAATGGTGTCTTCGCGTTTCTCAAAAGCAATGACAATTTTCTGAGTCCATACAGCACGTGGAACATTCAATTACGAAATATGGGAAGTTATGGCCATTCCAAGGAAGACCTTAAAGAATTGGCCAAATGTAAGAATGAAAAAATGAACATTGTATTGAGTGGACGAGGGAGTGCTGTGTTGAATGAACCGTTAAGCGAAATTTGTGAAGAAAAAAATCTACTGCCACAAATTAACAATGATATTTTTTCTTAATGACTTCTGATTTGAAATTCGTTATAGGATTCTGAATAAATCGATCTTAAAATTAAAAGATTAAACAAAATAATTTTGAATAAAGTAATTGAATGATTAATTGTGTCTTTATCGAATATTGAGCTGTTTTGTGTATTTCATTTTTTTTTATTTTTACCGTTTTTTTGTTTCAATTATTACTGCGTTCAAACTCAGTAAAATGATTCACGTGACTGGTTTGTACAGTGCCATCAATGAAATACTATTTTCATACATAAGATGAAAATGAAGAATTCAAAACGTTTTATATTTTAACGATGGCGCCATAATAAAGTGACCATAATGTCAGAGATTGTGTTTGTATTTGCAATTGAATTAATAATTGGTAGGTGAGAAAAATCGAATTAAAGTTGGACTATTTGATTAGCTGAATGTGTAGGTGTCAACTACCAGACTGTCCATATGGTTTTGTCAAAAATATGCAATTTTAGTGCCTGCATCGAATGAAATGCACATAATAAACCTGCACGGCTATTTAAACTGTAGAGTTTAACATTCGATCAAATTGAACGGCGAAGAGTTGCATTTGTAAAAAGAGAAAGTAGAACATTACGAAAAGCGTGCATGATCTTCAACTATATGACTTTGCTTGAAGTGCACGAACATTTAGGGGAGAGACACGGACTTTGGTATTGCTAATTTTTCCTAGTTTTTTTTTTCGTAAATCGCATATAACGTGTACATTGACAGGACCTAATAAGTCCTAATTTTTCTTAGTTTTTTTAGTTTTCTAGTTTGTGTGACACAAATTGTGTCTACCCCCTAGACGAACATACTATTTGCATGTAATAGGTATACGAGAAAGGGCAGTTCAATTGTCGAGATGCATTATTTGATCGGTTTAGAAACACGAGATGTGAGTGAATATAAACGGAGAGGGCATAGTATTTACTGTAGTTTAATTCGTGTATATGTTTGATTTTTAGGTGTCTAGGTTATTCAGTGCTGATAAGTTAAAAGTACTGTAGGCCCATCAAATTGTTATTGTTGTGAAATGAACGTTATTAGCTTTATTTTATTCAAGTCAATATTTTAGGAGTATTTCATTTTTAAATATGTTATATCATTATAGGTTACGTAATCAATAATCTCAAAAATCATGCAGCTTCCGTTTTGCTTAAAAACATTCTTGTCACTATCATTTCTCTCTTAATCTCCGTTATATTCGTTTAAATGAAAAAACATCATGTTGTTATCGTTATGTCCATTTTAATATCTATTCTCACTTCTACCCGGGTTAAAAAAATTGACATTTCATCAAAAAAATAATAGAAGATGAGTACAATTAACTTTAATTTGGCGTAGTCTCAAAATTGAACAACAAGGAACTCGAATCTTTTAAAAAATCACTGCTGCGTGAAGGTGCATACGGAAGGACGATTTTTGATTCGTCGTATCATTTGAGTGCGATAGAAAAAGAACTTCAGAATCTAAATAAGATTAGGAAACAAAATGTCATGAAACAATCACTAATTAGTCAATACCCATCTACTGTGGAAAATCATGGAGCTCAAAAAATCTCCTTTAATTAATGTTATAATGAACCGTTTCAACGAAGCAATTCACGCATTTAAACCACATTATTTATTTACATTTATTTGCGTGAACTACAATTTGACATCGTTTCTCCTCTGAACGCGACGACACAGAGGATCTGATTAAAAACGCCATTGATCAGCTTGACAAACTGTAATATAAAGTCGAAGATAAAGAGCATGCGATCGACCGATATGCCCCATACAAAGGGAGAAGTTATACACAAATGATGGATGATATATTTTCAATGTGACTACTGATCAGACATTCGTCGTGAGTTTCTGTGCTTATCAAACTAATAATGGGGATTTTTATTGAATATAAACCTTTTTTGTGTATTTTCATTTTTATCTTTAAAATCTCTGAATTTTTAAATATCAAATTTGACATATCTGAGTAAGTAAAAATGGCTAATCAAGAACATACTTTATTATTAATTTGTTTGAAGATCATATTAATATTTGTCAATTTGTTGACCAAAGTCAATACCATTTCCGTGTTTACATAGTAAATATCCAAATGTTACCTTTTGCACCAATTTTCTCATCTTAATGAATAAAACGGAGAAAAATACTATTTTAATTAGTGTAGAAGAAATCGTAACATATATAACTGAAAACAATCATGCTGTTGTTTTATGTAAACCGACTGAATCAGTACAAGTTCTTTTCCCAACGATTGCCATCGAATATTAGCAGCGCACACTCAAACCACCATAGCAAAACCCGATGAAATGAGAAAAGAAGATGGCACAACTAACGGTACAAGAGTGAACTGTTTCACATTTGCATTAGTATGGCCCTATATTCGCTACTCTGTTAATGTTAGAATATTTTTGCTTTCCTTTTCTTTCACCTTTCATTCCCAATTGATGGTGTGTGGGAAGTTGATGCTTTTGTGCACAAATATTGCAACATTCTGATGCAAACTCATTTTTTTTTTCTTCTTTTCCATACATCTTGAGATGCCAAGTGCAAACTGTAATCGGAGATATGTAGTTCAATTGTGATCTGAATTAATTTATGCCTTACATATACATTCATATTCAATGAAACACATTCTATTCTATTGTTTTATGCACATGTGTTACCTTCACCGTGGCAATTAAAAAAAAAAATCCAATATCGCTGTACCAAAACCAATTTACTAAAATTAGATCAGAATGTTTATTTTATGTACTTTTTTATCATTAGTTTTTTGAACGCCTTCAAATGACGATTTAATGAATTATTTATTTGATCGTTAACAAACATTTTTCGAAAATGTTCCACGTAGATTGACCAATTTGGGCATACTTAAGTTTTGATGTCTTACCTGAACATACCGCAATATCCATTTGCTGCATCAAATGTCTGATCGGGTGGCACAACACTGAAAATCAATAAAATGTCATTTAGTTTCATGTTCAGTAAAACATAAATCAGATGCACTTATTTACCGTTCCATTAATCGTGGAAATTGAGATAAACATCCAATAGCGGCAAGTAAATTTGGATCTCCCGGTCCAGCAATCTCCGGTAGTTCACGTGACGTTAAAACCGAACCTGGCATTGACAATCGAAATTGCGGACGAGATGACATATCCTGTAATTATATAATTAAATCAATTGAATTATTTCATTTTTTCTCCAATGATATGCATTATGTGACATACGTGAGGTCGCATCCATACGATTGGTTTTCGTCGTGACAATGATTTTGTATAATTTGGTGGAAAGTCGGAGTCTTCGTGTAGACCAGATCCGCGCGATAAACCACCATTACAATGTCGATTATTATTTGGTAGAGTTCCGTTTGATATTGCTTCAATGGAACGGGGCCGTGACAAAGTTGACATATGATCGATTTGTCCATTCAAATGTGTTCCACCGTTTGTCCACGACCGCATTTTCAAACCACCATCTGATTTTTTTTTTTTTTTTGAAGAAAAAAACAATGAAATTGATTAAATTGATTCACAATAGCAAACGGATAAACCGAACGTTAGATAACAGACGGTTAAGATCGAAAACCTAATAACGGAGTTACAACAAGTTCTATAAATGCAATTGAAAGAGAAAAACGGGTAAATAAAAAATTATCGTATATTTTAACATTGTCATTCATCATTTATTTGAACAATATGTCAGCATGAACATGTGTAAAAATTCACCGATATTTCTCATGCATACCCGATAAGGCCATAAGAGCTGAATGACTGAAATAAAAGGTAAATATCTATGCTCGAATGGAGAGTAGTTGTTTTGACGGAAATGTGCAACAAGTCAAACGGACAATATCCAATAGCGATTGTGTGTCTTTTTTTTTCTCTTCGTCATATCGGATGCTTGATGAGGCCAAATGAAACAAAGTAGATTTGTACCTATTTGCCATCATATCGCATATGCATCCAACTGGTTTTATAACCACGCAAAAGACGAAAGAATTTCGATATCGTACGCTTTTGACCATAAGTATGAGTACAGAGCATATTGCACACACATATAAATAGAGAGTGAGAAAGAATGATACGAAAATTTACAGGCAACAACAATGCAATACATAAGTAATGTAACGAACAGATTGTCATTTATTACTTACTAAATGCGCGACACAACAGAATGATAGTAACGGTAACGGTAAATCAAATCTTTAGAGAGAAAGAGAAATAGCAATTACAAATAAACTGTTTATTTATTGAAGTTCGAACCGAAAAGTACACAAAGGCCAGTTATAACAATGATACAACCGAGGAAAATGGCATTATCGGTTTGCGCGTGTGATTGCTCACTTGCAGACAGAATCTTATTCAGCAGTCGCAGCGGTAATTGTGTAAACTGGCTGTGTAACTATGACGGAGAGTTGCATGTTTTAACCAGTTCCGATAATGCTCATCTTATTATAGGAAATTAAATGCATTTCTTTTCTGTTTTTTTAGTGCATTTTTATAACAGCGATAAACTTTCGAGCCAAGATCGATTGTTAGAAGGAGAAAAAGCGCAATACACGGATTTCCATCGGAATTTAAATATTAATAAGTAGTTCTATTGGACATATAGTCACAATATATTATGACGGACAATACATGACGATGAAGCAAAACTACGTCGCATAAATCGACATATCCGGTATTTTAATTGCTAATTAATACGCATCGAAGATCGAACGGAAAATTTGTACAGTTTCAATATACATACAGCACCACACAGCTTCAACGTATAATTTATATCTTTTTTTCTAGCCACAAGGCATTTTATTCATTCAATCAATAAGGTTCTTCAAACCCGGACATCGTCTCTACGTTGAGAATTGACATGTGTCAAAATGCAATAGAAAATTTCAAAATAAAAAAAATATTTAGAAGAAATGAAAAGCTCAACATCATGAGACGTTGCAAATTACGATGTTTATGCAATATATGCGCCACCGTTTAATACACTGCAATTAAGTTCTCATAAACACGTTACAAATGTATGTTTAAAGTGAATTAGAATGAACTGGAATAATGAGATCAAAGTGAAAACTGCCCATTAGAGAAAAAAATATATATCCGATAAGTGAAATCTCATTTTATCGATGGTTTTCTCGATCATTTTCTCTTTCTTTTTCTTTCTACCTCTCTCTCTCTCGCTCTCTCGCTCTCTGTTATATCAAATATTAGCGAAACGATAATCTAGCATATCGGAAGCGTGTACTTAAAAAAGAGTGACAAATGATCCAATTTTATGACTAGAACACGCACATAAAAGAAAGTTGTGTGTCTGAAGCGAAATTTCATTTCAACATTATCTCAAAATTAAATCAGTAAAATTCAATCAACTCCATAACAACTATTTTTAAATAAAAAGTCTTTTGACATCGTTCTTGAATTGTCAACTGCATCGAGAGATTTTCCACATTCATTTTTTATGGATATTTTGGAGACAAAATTTGTCCATTGGGATGTTTTCCATTATTTGAAAGGTACTATTATAATTTCATGTTGCTTTCATAATGCATGTCATGAAAAATATCAGATTGCAAATTTTGCAATCTTGCAATTTTAGTGTTTCGCTTCCACATTATCTACATCGTCTCATCTTCTCATCGTCGTCGTCATCAGAGATTTTGCGAATTGTTGTGCATAAATCAATGGGGAATGCCGATGATTTCAAAGTTTAAAAAAAAAGATTCTTGAGATAATTCTGCATGCTAAACCGGCATTATTTCGATTTTCAAATGGCGAAGTATTCATTCAATTCAATTTGATTCGTTCTGATATTTGTCCAATTACGACGAAAAAAAATGTAAGTTGTAAAAATGTGCTGCTGCTGTAGAATTTTATTTTTATCCATATCGTATCGTTAAATGATGCTAGCCATATATTTTGATAGAAGAAATGCAAATGAAATCGAATCGAAAATAAATAGCGAATGGCAAAAACAGTACGATTAAATGTGCGAAAAGAGTGTGTTTTGTCGCGCCAATGCATTGCAGCTCATTTGAATAAATACACCGTTTTTTAATAGGTGATAAAATTCAATACTTCAATTGATTTTCTTGTAGTTGTTGTCCGAAACGTTATCTCTCGCTTCACTGTTTCTGTGACTTCAACTTGAAATTGGATGTGTGTGTGTACTGTTTGTACAGAATTTCATATGCAGATTGCATGATTCCATTCGGCTGGACCAATCTGCAGTTTGCATGCTTTTTATTCTGGTGCCTGCCGAAATTATGTGCATTATTCGAGGCAAGGTCAGTATTTTTACATGACATTTTTTTAATGAGGTACACACTATACACATGCCCCTTTTTTTATCACAGTTGGAATAACTTAAGATATACATATTCGGATTAATTATTGATGAAACAGTCTTATTAATTGAATATTTTTGGTTAAAGGGTATTTGAACACCATTGAACATTCCAAATTAATTCGTTAATTATACAAGCGAAAAAGAATAGCTTCCGATGTGCTTTGACATGTTTTTGAGAAATAAAAAAATGACGTAACAAGTTGAGTGAATAAAATCTCAAGTCAATGTAATTTTGTTGGTCATTTGTGAGTTCGTTGCACGCCACACACTTTCTTTATTACAGTTCATAGATTCGATATTTGTCAGCTACTCGTGCCGAAAATTGGGGATAGAATGCATTAAAATGAAATTTCAACATTGAAAAGTTGTATTTGTGCACAAATGTAATCACAAAAATAACGAGGCTGTGTCATAGATTTGTTTTTGTTGTTGGTGTTGTGCCTCCTTTTATTTTTTTTTGCGTCGTGGTTTTGCTCCATCTAAACGCAAAAATAGGTAACGGTGCTGAAACAATGATAATCATACAATCACACATATCCCGTGTGGTGTGAAAATCGCACATATTTCTTTCAATGGATTGTTATGGTGCAGTGAATGTGTACTCGATTTTGATTCGCACTGCAAGTGAGCCATCGCAAAGTGTTGAAGGTAGCTGCACTTTAGCCGTATTATACCGTAAATGCACCGAATAAGAAACCAAGTGTGAAAAAAAGCATGCATTCGTACACACACTCACACACACACACTGTGAGAGAACCAGTTGAAGATTATGTCTATGCAACAAAGAAACTTAAAAACAATATCACATACGATGAGGCAAAACTCGACGAAGATTCATGAAAGAATTTATTCATTGAAAGATTTTGTAAACGTAAAAAGCATTCGATGTTTTTGCAATCATTATCACCATCAAATTTTCCACCTCTCTACAGTGAAAGCATCTTCATCTATATCCTCCTATTCATCGAATGCGAACATTTTGTGTGCTGTTGTATCATTTGATGTTGCACTTAGCGTACGATTTCAGTGCAACGTAAAACTAATTCGTCGCTTCGGTAACGAAAAGCGAAATAGTAAAAGGAAAAAAGATCATCCAAACCTATTTAAAAAAAAATATAGAAAGAAAACACTTAAGTTTCCTATTTATGTTCTTGTAACTTGTTCGTCCGTATGGAAGCAAAAAAAAAGAAGAACATTAGTTTGAATTCAAGGTAAGATGCAAAGGCACTGAGAGAGCCCTTACCTCATTTTTTTTACGTAATGTTATTATCTGTAAGAATCTTTGGCCTGTAATCGCACTCGAGTTCAGAAATGGTAAAATATAATATCCCAAATCGTTACTTCGGTTCATGAAATTCAACGCACCAATTGATTATTGACTACTTGATATTTATAAAAAAATGTGACATTTGCACATTTTACTTCCGTTTAAATGGTTTTACCAATCACCTCACGAAACAAAAGACACTGTTGATAATTTCCATTCAGGTAGAGTTTGATAAAAATCAAACCATTCTCCATTCCAGATAAGCGATGCACTTTTGATTTCGGCTTTTTTTTCTTTATTTTAGCTAATAACTTTTTAAAGCAACGTCTCTTTATCGCTCCGTTTGCAAAACGCATTCCCTTGTATTTTGTGTAATATTTTACTTTCATAGAATTTCTTGTGCATCGAATGTTTTTCTTTTCTTTCAAAATCTAGATGCGGTGCTCGTTATTCGAATCATTTGTGTTTGTTTTCAAATCGATATATTAAATGTAAAAATGCCACAACTACTCCATTTTATCGCTTGTTCACTCCGAAAATAGCAACAGAAACTGTGCGAACTGTAGAAACAGCGGATTTTGTTTGGCATCAGATGAAGACCTACTCAGAATGCAGGCAAAATGGAATTCTATTGAGTGAATTGAATTTTGTAAATAATTTAGTTATGTGTGCGCGCGCTTTTTTCTCTTTCTTTCTATCTATCTTACTGTGCACTGACAAGGCACATAGGCACACACAAAAAAAACGTTCGTTCGCAAACGAACGATTGTGCGGCTCACAAGTCAACGATCAAACGACTCCAACTCTTAGGTGAAATTCATTTAGTCGACATATTTTCATAGTTAATTCTTAATTTAATT